GTGGCAGGGAAAGGCCCTGCCCCCTGAGTTCTCAGGCCCGAGCTCTGCGTTCTGGATCTGAGTTCTGGCTTCCTGCTGCCCCTCAGCGCGGGGGCTGGGGGATGGTGGCTTCCTTGGCTACCGGGGTCCCCAGCCATCTTGGCCGGCACCCTGGGCTGCTCTGGAGGCGGGACACGGGTCCTGTGGCGCTTCTCCTCGCCTCTGGCCCCGGCCAGCACCCTGGGGAGAGGGGCTGACGTGGCCGCAGAGCACCCTCGCCGAGGCCCTGCAGGAGTCGCAGGGCTCACACACATAGTCCCATCCCCAGAGGTTTTGGGCCCCCGGGACCGACGTGGGCGTGGATGGCACCGCCAGCAGTTGTGCAGCGACGTGGGCCTGAGCCCGGCCCGGGCCGCAGCTGCTTGAACGCCATCAGCCGTGAGGGCGCCTCCGAACCGCGGCCTGTTTTCTGGTGGAAGCTGCCTTCCAGCCTCTCATCCCCCAGATGTCAGTCCCTTGACCACCAGGCCAGGCCCCCTGCAGGGCACACCCTGTGCTCACCCTTGGGGATGGGGGGGGCTGTGGGGGGCTATGGAGCAGGAGCCTACAGCTGCATCAGCACTTTCGGCTGGGCTGCTGGTGAGCAGCCCCCGCCTCCGCTCCCCCCACCCTGGCGCAGAGCCTAGGTCGCCGGGAGCCCTGTGCTCACCTTGTGCCCATCCCATCCCATCCCCTCCCCAGCCATTAAGTGGGATTAAGGGGATAAGACACAGGGAACAAGATTCTCTCTTGGAGGCTTGGAGCCATGCGGGTTTAGGCCCCATGGGGTCCTTGAGGAAGTCACGCCTGCTGACTCCGCCTATGTCCTCTGTAAGATGGGGGGGTGGAGCTGGAGGCCTGTGGGGGGGGCAAGGCGGACAGGCCAACTCCGCCCCAGCTTCCCCCCAGTGGGGTGAGGGGAAGCAGCCCTGTGACCTCTCCAACTGCCCAGGAGCCTAGGTCGCGCACTGGCTTTGGAAGAGGGCCTGTGGATTGACCAGCTGTCGCCCTGCCTCTGGGCCTGGCGGGCTGAGAGCTGAGGGCTCAGGGCCTGGAGGGGCTCTGGGAAAGCAGCACCTAGGAGGAGGGACCCCGCTTCACTGGCCCAGAGCTGCTGCAGGGGACGCCTTGGAGTTGGAGACCGCAGAGGGGACTGTGGCAGAGAAACACAGCCGGCCAGCCAAGATGTGCCTCCAGAGGGGGCGGGCTGAAGCCCCCAAAGGAAGAACTGGGTTCTATTTCTGGAGAAGGGGGTGGTGGTCAGCAGCAACAAAGCAGCGGCCTTGGGAAGTTCTCTGTGTTATGATTATTTTAAGATATTTAAAAAAATATATTTTTTTTAATTTTTAGACAGAGGGGAAGGGAGGGAGAAAGGGAGAGAAACATCCATGCGTGGTTGCCCCTCATGCGCCCCCTGCTGGGGGCCTGGCCCGCAACCCAGGCAGGTGCCCCCACGGGGAACTGAACGGACGACTCTGGTTCGCAGGCCGGTGCCCAGCCCACGGAGCCGCACCGGCTGGGGCTCATGATTATTTTTGAATTGCATCTTAAAAACAAAAAATTAAAGCTAAGGTGAAAGTCTCCTTTGAGCACTGCTTCCAATCCTGGTCCCCTCCCCATCTCCCTGTCAATTTGGCATGTAGCCTTCTAGAACATTCTTTCTCCTTTCTGTACACTTCCAAGTGCTTCTGTGTTTGTGGTTTATATAAAGGTCTCATGCCATATATGTTGCGCTCTCTTTTTTTTTTTAACTGAACAATAACACATCTTGGAGAACTTTCCACACCGGGACACTCTGCCAGTTCCTTATCTGCTGTGGCATTCCAGGTCATGGATACGCCACCACGTGTTGTCCCCGCCCCCCCGCCCCGAGCCCTCCACATTTGTCCGTTTAACAGTCTTCAGGCCATGGACAACCCTGCAGGGATGGGCCTCCTCGTGCCCACGAGCGACTCTCTAGGGGTACTGCGGGGGGTCATACAAGGCGTGCGTTTAATTTTTATCGGAAACTCTGAAACTGCCCCTCAGAGTAGCCATATCCATGTCCCCGCCCTGAAAGGGCCCTGGGTCCCCATCGGGGGTCTCTGCGGCATCCAGGTCCTCCCGGACGGGTGTCCCTGAGTCAGGCAGCCTGTGGGCTGGCCGCCCAAGCTCCCTGCAGGACCCTCGGCGGGGCACGCCCCGCCTGCAGCAGTGGTTTCTCACCCACTGGGCTGCTTGGTTATGAGGACAGAGAGAGAGAGGATAGAACGAGCCAAACTTGGGGACCTTGGTAGGTGTGGATTTCTCCCCATGCAGGGGCCGACCTGTCTGGAGGTTCTTCACCTGACCCACGACCCCTGTTCTTGTGGGGCCCAGGTGTGACAGGCTTTTCCATGGAGTTGGGGGAGGTACTGCAGGAGGCTGGCTTGGCCTGCAGGCTCTGCCAGCTTTGAGCAGATACCCCGTCTCTTACCTGGTGTCCCCGCCTCTCCACCCTGGGGCATGGAAGGTGTCTCCTGCCCCCCGCCCGGAGAAACCCTGAGGCTCAGGAAGTGTGGGGGGCTCTGCAGCTGAGCAGGGAAGGAACACGGGCTCTCTCCCTGCCCCCGTCCCTGGCCACAGACTGCGACCCTGGTGCCATGCAGCCCCCTGCCTGGGATCCCCCCGCCTGGGATCCCCCCTGTCCTGCTGTCCCTGTGTCCTTTGCCAGGACTCCCTGAGGCTGTGGCATCATTTGTCAGCCCACTAGGAAAGGGACACAGAGGTGACCAGGACAGTCGAGGTCCCTGCATCATGTTGTCTGCAGAGTGTGAATAAATACAGGAGAGTGAATGTTATAAAGGAAAAAACTGGGTAGAATGGTAGAGAGCGAAGTTGGGGAGCACTTCGTATTCGATGTCATAGTCCACGTGGGCTGCTAGAACAAAAATACCAGAGACCGGGTGGCTCATAAACAGCAGAAATGCATTTCCCCCAGTTCCCGGGGCGGGAAGCCTGAGGCCGAAGGGGCAGTGTGCTTGGGGCCCAGTGAGGACCCTTCCAGGCTGCAGATGGCGCCTTCTCACTATGTCCTCTCTTGGTGGCAGGGGCGAAGGAGCTCTCTGGGGTCTCCTACGAGGGCCTGGGCCAATCAGGAGGGCTCCACCCTCCCGTCCGAATCACCTCCCGAAGGCCCCAGTTCCAAGCACCAATGCACTGGGGCTGGGATCTGAACATATGAGTGTAGGGGACACGCACATTTAGACCACAGCACAGGTGACCAGGGAAGGCTCCCAGGAGGCGTTTAGGGCGATTTCCAATGAAGCAGGACTTGGTGTTTGCAGACCTTGGCAACCCCACGCAAGTAGCAAGGACGCACATCCAGAGACCGCGCGGGCTCGCCTCAGGAGCCACTCGGGAAGTGGCTGTCTTCAGGCGCCTCCTTCCGTCTTGCGTCGTCCCTCGTCCCTCGTCCCTCGTCCCCCTCCCCTGTGGGGCCGCCCTCGCATGGAGGTCCTCTCCCTGCGGGTCATTTCTACAAATCCCCAGGAGAAGGTAGAAAATGGCCAGGACTGGGATTCTGATGGGGTGAGAGAATCATCCCTGAATGAAACTGATCGGCCAGGTCTGGGTCATGAGCTCGCGCCAGCAGTTGGGGGGCAACCCAGCCAAACGGCATGGACCGAGGGCCAGAGTGCTGAAGCCCCCCTCCAGGAAGGCTCGGCTGTGGGTTGTGGAGAAAGCACAGTGGGCCAGCAATACCCCCATCTCTTCCAGTTACAGGACGGGGGCGTGGCGGTGGTGGAGCTCCTGGCAGAGGGGGCAGCCAGTGCAAAGAGCTAGGAGGAGGATGGGAGCTCAACCTGTTGAGCTGGTCAGGAGGGCCCCTCTCTCCCCAGGGACCTTCTTGAGGCTCCTGTGTCCCCTTGCTTCCCCTGTCACAGCGCCAGGACTGAGTCTGGCCCCTCTGCCTGTAGGCTGAGGCCCTCCTTCTGGAAGGTCTTCCCTGCTCCCCTGCCCTGTGTGGGGTTTCCCTGGCAGCCTGGGGAGAGGGAAGACCACCTGGCCAAAGCAGGCAAGGGGCAGAACCTGTCCTTGCAATGATACCTGGTGTCCCCTACAGGGCCTTCAGTGCATCCAAAGAAACTGCAGCCATGCCTGCAGGGACACACTCGGTCCCGTGGAGAAGCAGGAAACAGCCACGAGACACTGTACTCAGACAGGAGCCCACGGAACAGCAGGGTAACACCTGACAGAATCGTGGTTCCTGGAGGGGTCTACCCCTCCCCTCCCCCTCTCATGTCCTCTCCTCCCCTGCCCCCATACTTTGTGCACTCAGGAAGAGATGTTCTGATAACAGGAAGTCAGGGGGTACATCCTGAGGTCCCCAAGAGCTTCCGGGCACTGTGCCCTTAGTGACAGGCAATGCGGTTTTCGCAGGGCGGCGGGGGCGGTGGGTGGGTAAAGCATTCACAAGGAACACACCTCCTGGCAGAACAATAATAATAATTATAATAACAATATTATACATTCAGGACAAACCCAGCTGCCCCAAGCCAACTGGAAAATCCACGTCCTGTAGAGTCCAGTGGGCAGAGGGAGGGGCTGCCTACCTGCACCCCCAGGCCTGGCTCCTACCGTCGCCCTGAGGAGGGGCCTGCCCCTCCTCCAGCTCCCTGAGGAGGCTTGGCACAGGGCGGGGAGGCTGGCATTGCCAACACCGGCCCCTGTGCCGGGCAAGCCCGCATGGGGTGGGGGAAGGAAGGAGGGAGCCCCACCTCCCCCCAGCAGCCGGCTTCAGGGGATGGGTGCGCGAGCTTGTGAGGGACCACGTGGTGGCGGCTGTGGGGCGTGGCTACTCGGAGCCCCTCTCCACACACACGTGTGGCTCTTCCTTCCAGCCAGCCGGTGGCAGGAAGGAGCCAGGGACACTCACGGCACAGACAGGGCATGCAGAGCAGGGCCGTGGCGTGCTTGGCCTGGGGGGTGCCGTGCGGCCAGGCTGGGCTGCGGGACAGCGGTCAGAGGGCCGAGTGCGCAGTGCAGCCCGAGGGGTCCCCCTCAGGCTGGGCAGATGGTTCAGTTTGTGGGGGGGCATCCTGGGAGGGGGGCCCTTGGGCAGGCAGCTGCAGAAATTCTGGAAGCACCAGGTCCTCTTTGCGCAGAAGTCCCCTTTGGTCATGGGCCCCACTGCTTTGCACCCGGTTCAGCAGCTCCACCAGGCCTGGGGGTGGCCACAGAGTCAGGGGCCACCTGCACGGAGCTGCCCACTGCAGTCCACCACCGTCCTGCTGCCCATACTATGGCCACAGCCGGCCTGACCCCAGCACCAGTGCCCCCCCACCCCAGCCTGGCTGGCCCCCCAACCCCAGTGACCTCCCGTCCTCTTATTCCAGCTCCAATGACGTCCAGTCCCCTGATGCCACCTCAGTGGTGCCAACCCCTCAGGCCTCTGTCCCCCACCATCCCCCATGTACCTTCGATGTCACAGGTCTGTCGCTTCCCAGTGACACTGCTGGGCTCCTCTGCCGGGCAGCTGAGCAGCAGCCGGGGAGGGTGAGAGGCTTTGTCCTCCGTTCTAGGCGGCGCGCGCTGTGAGAACGTGGGGTCAGAGCCACAACCAGGAGGGGAGGTGTAGCGGGCTAAAGCTCCCTCCCTCCCCCCTCACCTGGCCGTGGCAGGGGGATGCGTCCGGGGCTTCGGAAATCTTCACACCTGCGGCAGAGAGCGCCATCTCTTGTGTTTGCCTCCCACCTGGACCCCCTTACTCTTTGATCGGAGCCGGCCCCGGGGGCCACGCCCCAAGCCAACATCCCCTACCTGGGAGAGTGTTCAAAACCAGTCTCTGGGCCGCCACTGAGCTGACTAGCTTCCCCAGATCCAGCGGCTGCTTCTCGCCTGGCTGCGGGGACAGGTCAGCAGCCTGGGGGACAGGAAGCCCGCTCCCCGCCGCTCCGCCCCTGCCCCAGCCTCAGCCCCGCGGCCCCGCCGGCTCACCAGGCGCAGTTCCACCTGTTGCGGGCTCAGGCCGTGCTTCGCCAGGATGGGCTGCAGCGCCTCCTGCAGCCGCTTGGTGGGCTTGGCGGAGATCCGCACCAAGCGCTGTATCGCCGCCAACTCGAGGCTGCACGGGACCCTCCCGCTGCGAAAGGGCGGAAGGGCCGACCCCGCCTCTCCTCCCAACCCACACCCGCCAGCCCCGGGATGGGGCAGAGCCTAAATCAGGGGGAAGGGCCAGCTTGGGGTGGGGACTTAGCCCAAGGGGAGGGGTTAGAGCAAGGGGCGGGACCTGCAGGGAAGAACTGCAGCTGGAACGGGGTCCCCGGCCCAAGCCTCGAGGGAGGGGCACTCACTGGAAGGTGATCCTGTTCTCCAGTCTCACTTCCTGGTCCGCCAGCACGGTGCAGTCCTGATCCAGGACCAGGGCCTTCTGCAGACGCCAGGCAGGGTCTGAGTCCCTCCCCCACCCCTAGTGACCCCCGTGGTCCGAGGGAACCACCTTCCCTTCTTCAGTGGCTGCCCTGAAGTTTAGAGGGAAGGGCAGATAGGCAGGTGAGCCACAGAGATGCTGATGCGGTAGAGACCAGGCTGGGGGTGGAGCCTGGCACAGCCAAGGCCACGGAGAAGGCTGGCAAGGATGCTGGACACACTTGCAGAAGGAAGGGAGTTATGGGAACCATGCGAGGGGGTGGGCACGACACGGTAAAGGGGTTGCCTGGGTAAGGGGCAGGTTTAGGGGCCGGATCACTGGGCGCCTCTTCCTGGGCCAGGACAGGCTCTGCCTGCGGGACAGCTGTCCCTTGTCCCGCAGGCATGTGAAACCCACCCAGACCACCTGGATGTGTTTCCTCCCTCACCACGCACCTTTGGACAAGCTACTGTGTCGCTTTTTGGACATTTGTCCACTTCTCCCCAACCCCACCTCCTAAGGACACGTCTTGTCTCCTCACTGCAAAGGGGCTCTCTCCCCAAGTCTGCCGCGAGGACTGGAGGACGCAAATGCCTGTCACAGCGCCTGGCACGGGAGGCCCGCAGACAGAAGCTGCAGTGACTGACTGCTGCCCCCAGAGGCTCCGCCAGCTGTGCCAGCTGGGGGCGGGTAGGCGGCCTCCACCCTGCCACAGGCCTGTGTGTGCTGCAGGGACAGGTGGAGTGTGGGGGGTAAAGTTACATTTAGCGGTCAGGAAAGTCCACCTGGGCTGCGAGCCTGCTCGGGCGGCCTGGGCGAATGGGCAGAGCTCTCCCCACTCTTGCCCTCCCACTCCCATGCTCCGGGCCCCTGAGCACGCCCTGCGCTTCTCGCCCACCTCCAGGTCACTGATTAAGCTCTTCGCTCTGCCTGGAATGTCCTCCCCTCACAGCTCAGAAAGAGCAATCGCCTTCTCATCCTCATCAATGGCTGCCTCTTCCAGGAAGCCTTCCTGGGACCAACCAGAAATGCCTACCTCACCCCAGAAACCCTCTGGAGGTTTGACTCCTCCTCCCTGAGCATATCCTGCCTGGCTCACCTCCAACCAGTAGACCTGGAGGGCAGAGCTTAGGCCCAGGTCCCTCTGCCCGCCCACCTGGCAGGGCTTTAGGACTTGTCTACGGGGTGAACGGAACCCTGGCGGGTCTCCTGGGATGCAGCATTCTTCCTTTAGATCCCCCTTACCAGTGAGTATCCCCCTAGACTCCCTTTTAAAGCTAGGCTAGTTTGCACCTAAAGGAAAGTTTTCACGGGTTAGGTGCAGCTGGGCACTCCTGGTGGCAGAGGAGGCGAGGGCTCCCCCAAACAGTGATTTCAGGGATGGGCAGCCTGAGCTAGGTGTGCTGGGAAAAACCCTCCTTCAGCAGGGGGTCTTCCTACTCTTCAGCCCAAAGCCCTCTGAGTGAGGGCAGTGGGTGGAGCTGGGGAACCAGGGCGGGGTGGGTGGGGCCAGGATTTTTGGAAGCTGGGAGTCGATAGCTGAGTTCGAGTGAGGAGGGGGTGCGGAGAGGGGTGTGGTGGGAAGAGGCTGGAGTTAAGAAGGGGGTGAGGATAGGGGGTAGGGTTAGAATTAGGGTCGGTCAGGGGATTAGGAATGGAATTGGGGTTGAGGTCATAGCTGAGCAGAGACAGGAATGGGGTTGGGATCTGGATCAGAAGGGGAGTTGGAGGTGGGGTCCAGGCCAGGTTCGTACCTGCTCGTTGCCCACCAGGTAGACCTTGATGTCAGGCAGAGAGAGGCCTCGTTTCTCACAGATGCCTGCCAGCATGGCACGGATGGTGAGGCCAGGTCGGGCCAGGGCCAAGGAGGCTGTGCCATCGGGCAGGTACACGCAACAGTACTTCCCTTGCCGGCTTTCGCTCTCCCCTTCTGAGCTCCCGAGGCTCTTCCGATGGCTCTAGTTCAGGGCAGGAGTGGTAGGGAGGTCATGTGTACACATTCAAGAACATGCAGACAGGTGGGCTCACTGGGGCACACACGTGCACACAGGCACACTCGCCGAAGAGCACACCTGTCCTCCTATAGAAACACGTGTGTGCACAGCTAAGCGTACAGGCACCCAGAGGGCAGTCCACCCACCGACACCCACACCCACACCCACTGCGTGCACCTGGACGCCCAAGCGGACGCACACATCGGCTGCAGGGGGCCCGTTGCGGTGAGGGCAGGTAGAAAGTAAGGAGGCGAAGGAACTGGCTGCGGGGAGCAAGTGGCGGACATGCAAGTGGGGGTGGTGGCTGGGAATGATGGCGGCCACTCAAAGGGACCCTAGTCCGCACTTGGTCTCCTCCAGCAGTCGCTCACCTCAGATTTGCTGTTGGCAAAGGCAAGGAAGCCGAGGTCCAGGCTGGCCGACGAGTTGAGGGAGCCCTGGGACTCTCGTCTCGAGGCCGAATTTGCCCCCGTGCCCGCCAGCTCTGGAGGGAGCAGTGCGCAGTGAGCAGGGCAGCGTCCCCACCCCCGGCGGAGGCCCCTCCTTGGCGGGCGGCCCCTCTGGAGCTCTCCCGCGTGGGTCTAACGCGGTTTGGGGTCCTGCAAGCCTCGCTACGTAGGGGGCTTCCCAGGCTGCAGGGGTCTAGTGTGGGAACCAAACCACAGGGGGAACGCGGTGGCCACAGGGCCCTGCATTCTTGCCGGTTTCCACAAACTGCGGGACAAGTAGTTGGAACGGGGGTTCTCAAGGCCTGCCTACACTCCCGCCCCCTCTTCTCGGAGGCCCGCTCCTGCCCTCACCCCTGCGGAAGGACTTGCGGAGCGGACGGCCCCCGGGGCCCTCGGCGGACGGCAGCTGACCCAGCTCCTCCACGCCAAGTGGCAGTGACTTCCCGGGCTTCAGCTTCGGCTTCTGCGGGCACAGGGAAGGCGCTGGCACCGGGCCGGGCCCCAGCCCGCACGCAGACCCCGGACAACCCCGCAGATCTGCACCGGGCCCCCGCGCCCCACAGCCCCTCGTCCGCACCTTCCTGGCGGCGTCGGGGCTGCCGAGGCGCGAGGAGCCAGGGTCCGGGAGGGAGCGCCCCTCCGCCTCCGCCAGGAGGCACTCGCGGTACAGCGGAGACTTGACGAAGCGCGCATAGCTGTCGAATTTCATCAAGTTGAAGATCTACGGGGTAGGCGCCGCGGCGGTGAGCCGGGGTCCCAGGCCCGGCCCGGGGAGTTGGCCTGGTCCCTCACCTAGGGAGGAAGCCCCGGCCCCTCCCGCTCACCTCCAAGGCCCAGACCCTTGACCGCACCCACCTCACTACACCACGCCCCTACCGTGGCTAGGCTCCGCCCTGGCCCCGCCTTCTCCGCAGCCTGGGATCGTTACCTCGGAGCAGCGCCCTGTCCGCATTTACTTGTCTCTAAGCCCACAATGAATCATATTTGTCCCTTCCCACCCCACTCCTCATCCCCTACGCTGCGGGGCTCAGTCTCCGCCCCTGGGTCTGGCCCCGCCTCTGCTCCTTGCGCTCCCTTCCAAAGCCACGCCCCCTCACCTGAAGCTGCTGTGCCCGGAACATGTCCGGCCGGGGCTCGGCCAGCACCTCCTCACCGAGCCAGGCCTGACGGTCGATGTTCACGGGGCTCAGTGCCTGGCTGGACAGGAACTCCTGGTAGATGCTGCGGGCCTCCTGAGCGAGCTGGGGCAGGAGGGACAGGTGAAGGTCAGGGGCACCGCCCAGGCCCGGGTCCCACCTCTCTGCCTCAGCTCCCTCTTCCCCCAACCTGCTGGGTGTCGCTGGCAGGGATCTGCTGGAAGCTCTCGCAGGCCTTCCAGAAAGTCAGGTTCTCGGCACTGAATTCCTTCTTCAGGAACTCCTGGCGGCGGGGGTGGGAGGGTGGGGGATGAATGGTGGTGGAGAGTTGGGTGTGTGTGTAAGAAGGAGAAGGCAGCCAAGAGCGAGAGACCCAGTCAGGGTCAGAGAGGCTGGGACAGAGACTCGAGGCCAAGAAGCCAAGCCAGACAGACGGACGGGGCCAAACCAGATGCACAGAGACAAAATGAGAGGCAGGGACAAGGACAGAGAGAAGCAAAGTTCCCAGCTGGGAGAAGAGGACGTGGATGCCAAGGAAAAGCTGTGGGAAAGACAGCTGAGAGAGGGGTCCCACTGGCCAGGCTGAAGCTCCACTCATGCCCCCCCACCCGCCTGCCATCCGCCCCCATCCCACCCTAGGGCTTACAGTGAAGTAAGCCTGGCCCAGTGGGTCCTGCAGCAGCCGCTCGAAGGACAGGCCCCAGCTGGCCACGGGCTGGTCCCCCGTGGGGAAGGGGCTGGTGGGACCGCTGGGGAGGCTGTGGATGCTGAGGGAGCTGCCTCGGCCCTCGCCTTGGCGCTGGGGCGGCGCCGTGCTGCTCAGCTCTGCGGGGGGTAGACAAGTGGCAGTGAGCCCTGTGGCCTCCCAGGCTCTTGGACCGACCCCACCCACAGATGCTTCCCCTGAAAAGACAGCAGGAGGCGGGGGTATCCCGTCCCATTTCCAGACGCCATCCCGCACCCCTAACCAGGCTTCCTCCACGCGCCCTGTCGCTTACCTCCGTCTGAGACAGCCACAACCTACGAGAGACCGGAGGCAGAAATGAGAGTAGAGCCCGGGATGGATTCTCCAGGAGCAGCCTGCGCCCAGCCCCCAGGCCTGGCGCTGTGTCCTCCCCTGGCTGGAGGGCCATGCTGGGCATTCCCAGCCGGGTCACTGCCATTCAAGGTGTTGCTCAGGCTGTTCCGGCTCCCCTGCCATCACGTGTCAACCCCTGTGCTTTGCAACTTCTGCCTGGTGTCCTCCAGCTGCCCCGCCTCCCTCCTCCAGCACCTGCTGGTAGCCCAGCTATACGGCATGGCGCGCAGGAGCACAGACTCTGAATCCTGTCTCTGCCACTAGCTGTATGACTGAGGGCCAGTTACTTGTTTGCCTTTATCTGGAAATAGAGGATGGTGATAATCACAGTAACTTACTTCCAGGGGCTCTTGTGAGGACCAAATCAATTTAAAGTGTTTGCAGCATCTGGAACAGTGGCCAGCGTGTGGTACGCGCTATACCAACATTTGCTGTTGTCTTTGAAAGGAGCCTCTGTAGCTGATGACCCTTATTGCCACTTTTGTTTGCTCTTGTGGACCAGGTTCTCCCTCGGGTCCCACCCCCCGTGGGCAGAGCACAGGATGCTGTTTTATAGCACAGAGCGGGGGCTCTCAAACTTCAGCGTGCACCAGAGACCCTGGAGGGGTCCGCCTCAGATGATACAGGTTGGGTAGGTCCAGGGTGGGGCCTGGGACTCTCCATCGCTAACAAGGTCCTAGATGATGCTGACGCTGTTGGTCCACGGACCACACTGTGAGCAGCATTGCCGTAGCGGCCAACTCCACGCTCCCTCCGCCCCTCCACGCCCAACTCCAGCTTCTCCGGGAATCCCAACCACTAGTGAAACAGAACAGCCTTCCTTTCAGAATGACTCTTGCTTGGTCTCCCCACCTTCCTAGCAGCTCCTCCAGCTTCCTTGTCATCTCCTACCCCCGCAAGGTGGCCTCTACCCCTCCCCGACTCCGTCCTGGACCCTTTCTTCCACTCACGTCTCCTCTGCTCCAAACACAAAGCCAATTTCCCGCTAACGTCTCCGCCCCCATGTCCCGCACGCCCTTCAAATTCATCCAGTCCCAAATGGGAGCCACCTCTGCCACCACCACAGCAGGGCACCCAACCAGCTTCCCTGCCTCTCATCTTTCTTCCCATCACCTGAGCTCCCAACACCAGGGCTGAGTCATTCCCAGTGCCTCCCTCCCTCTCACTGCCTACATTTTCACTGGGCCCCGTCATGGGAGCTTCCACCACCTGCCCCTCCTTTCCTTCCCCACTGGAAGCAGGTCTGCAGCCCCCCCCTAGGGAGCCCCCCCTGCCCTCCTGGCTGCAGCCTCCCTCTCCTTCCCACTCCCGCCGGATGTCACGCACAGTGGGCTGCCACTGGCCTGCAGGTATGTGAGACATCACTAATGTCTTGGCTCTTTGAATGTTTTTTTTTCTTTTTACATTTAAAAAGGTTCCCGCATTTAAAAACCAGGAGTTTTACAGCAAACCCCAGCTTTATGCCCCAGCCACCCTGAGCTGCTTCCAGCATGGCAACCTTGGCCAGCACAGAGCGGCAACCCGTGCCAAGGAGGGGCTCAGCCCTCCTCAGAGGTCCCTGGGGCCAGTTGGATGCATTTGTGTTACTTATGGAAGCAGGTGCCGCCCAGACCGCGTGAATTTAAATCTGTGCTGTGTGACCTTGGTCAGGGTGCTTCACCTCTCTGTGCCCCAGTTTCTTCCTCTATACAAATGGAGCAAATACTGTCATGGCCCTGACTTCGAAGGGTCGCTGTGAGTAAGTTAAACATATATATAAAGAACTCAGGACGCTCTCTGGCATGTGTGACTATTCAGCGGACATTACTGCTGTTGTTGCATTAGTATCGGTGGCCGACCCTGCTCCCACTTTCGAGTTGGCGGGACAGCCACGGAGGAAGAGCGCAGGTGTCAGGGCCCGTCAGACCCGAATTCAGACCCTGGCCCTGCCCTTTTCTAGTTTCATGGCCGCGGTCCCCTCCCCGAGCCTCCGCTCCGGCCAGGAGCGCCGCGACGGTGGGACGCAGCGGAGGAGGAGGGAAAGTTTTCGAAGGGCGTGGCTCGTCCTGGAATCGCTCCGAGCGCCCCCAGCCCGCTCGAGCCTCTCGCTCCCGCCTTTGCTCTCCCCCATCTGACGCTCTGTCCTTTGTGCGGGTCACACTCACAGCTGCAGGAGAAAGTCCCAGCTGCTGGGTTGTGTGCGTGCTGCGAGTCCCTTCCAGCCTGCTCTTTCCCTTCCGGCCACCTGCCTGCCCAGGCCGCTGTCTCTGCGGTGCCCCCAGGCTCATAGAACGGTCAGAGCCCGCCCCCAAGGTCTCCGGAGCCGTCCTGACTCCCCTCCCCCTCCCTCCAAGGGGCCGCTGGGTCCTGCCTCCTTCAGTCCCCCGCAGCTTCTGGCCCGCCCTGCCGCCTGAGACTCAGCCCTTCCCATGCCCAGAGCCCCCATGGCTGCTGGGGCGAGCCGGGACCCCGGAGAGGGCAAAGGCTCCCCGCCCGAAGCCAGCCCTAACTGTTACGTTGTGTGATTCTGTGCTGTGTGTGTTTTTACGTGGGGCTGGCCCCCTGGTCCCCACCCGCCCCCCGCCCCCCGCCCCGGGGAGGCGGAGCAGGTGCTGGGCTAGAGCTGCAGCCGGCACCTGACTACCGCACACCAGCAGCCTCCCTCTTTCCCTCCTCCTCCCCTCCGCCCTCCACTTTATCAAACTTTTCTGTTTTTCCCTCACCCCTACACACTCCTGCTTCCTGCTTTGCTGTTTCCTTTGGCTGGTAATCTGCTTCTGCTCCCCTACCCAAGGGCTCTCCAGCCGCTGCCCATTGACCTCAGCCTTCCCTAGACACCAGGGGCCGAGCCCCTCCGCCCACCCAGCTTCTGCCCGCCCATATCTGGGCCTCCCCGCACCCCCCCCCCACCCCGCCCCTGCCCCCGTCAGTCTGGTAGCTCCTGGGTCACAGGCTTGGGTTGTTGGAGGGAATGGACCGCACTCCCACCCCCGGAGCACCCTCCTGGCCGGGAGCAGCCCTCAGGGCCTGGGGCAGCCCTCCTCCGCCTGCCCAGGGGGCTCCACCTGTGAACACGCCCCCTGTGAGCCTGCAGCTCACCTTCCTGAGCCCCTCCCGCCCCACTGGTGGCTGATCTGTGCAGTTGAGGCTGAGACAGGATAGGGACAGGAGATCCAGGGGCTGCAGGGGTGGAGCCGGAGGCCAGTTCCAGTTCCACTAGGCCAGGGCAAGTGACCTCCTTTCTTTGGGCCTCAGTGTCCCCTTTGATAGCGTGGGGCTCAGCTTTCCCATCCTGCTGGGGCTGCTGGGTGGGACAAAAGGCCCGCAGGTGAAAGTGGCTGGCACAAGGCCGGCAGGTTAGGGTTAGGCAGGCGCTCCGCTGACCCCCTGCTGAGCTGCTCCTACCTGCCAGGTTCTCAGGCTCCCAGGCTCCCAGGCCTGGGGAAGTTGTGCTGAGCCGGGCTGGCCTAGCCCCACCCGGCCTGCCTGGGGAGAAGTGGTGCGCGAATAGTGAGAAAAGGGGAAGCGAGGATGAGGAAGGGCGTGGTGGCCACCAGCATCCCCAATCCAAGGTCAGGCATCGTGTTTGCCGAACTTTTTCTTAGGAGATGGGCCCCGGGGAGCCGCTGCTACTTAAGAACGCTGAGGCGAGGATGGCCTGGCATTTCCTGAGCCCCGGTTGTGTGACAGGCACTCTGACTGTTCTCACCCTGTCCTCGCATCCTGACCCTGTGCGGCAGCTATTATTCCTCCCATCTCTCAGGTGAGGACACCTGGGTCCAAAGTCTCGCAGCTGTGACGTGGCCGGGGTGAAACTGGAACCCAAGCGCGCCTGACCCTGGAGCCTGAGGCCTTCCCTCTACGAAGCTGCCTCCCAGGGTGGACAGGAGACCTGCCGGGGGAGCTGGGAGGCCCAGGGCCTCAGCTCTTGGGCCACAGGTGGGCGAAGTCCATCGGGGTAAAGGCCCAGGGACTCCTCCTGAACCCTGACCCTGGGGGGCGTCGGACCTCGAAGGGAGGGCTGATGCACTGAGTGCATTTGTATAACCAGCGTCCCTTTCATCCTAGCTTGGGGAACCAAGGCCTGGAGACACCCACAGGAACCCCGGGAGCCTGGCCGGTCCGTCTGCGCCAGCCCCGGGGAGCTGACCCAGGCTCGGCCCCTCTGCGAGGCCACATGTCGCTCAGGTGGCCCAGAGGTGCAGTGGGCGCTGCCTTGCCCATCTCCTTGTCAGGTGCGGAAGATTAAGTGGGCCTCCCAAGAGCGAGAGAACACGATGACCGTCCCTCCCAGTGTCCCCACGCCATGCCCGCCTCAGCTGGCACGCCCTTCTAGGGCTCCTTCCAGGCCACAGTGCACCAAGCGAGAGGGGAGGCTGGCTCTCCCTCCCAGGCCCCTCACGCCTCCTCGGTCCCTGACCAGCTGCTTTTACCCAAACCGGGATTTTACTCTGTGTTTGGGCCCATGTGTCTCACCAGGTGGGGGGCCGCCTGAGGGCAGGGGGCGGGATGATGGGCCTGGTCCTGAGAGCCTGGGACAGGGCCGGCACAGAGCAGGCCCTCGGAGGGGTTGTTGAATGAATGAGTGGACAAATGAAGTGGCGGTTGGGGCTATGTGGAGGCATCTCTGGGACGGGGGGCTGGAAGTCATCTCTAAGTGACATGTTTCATTGCAACTGCCTGACATGCTGAGTGGCAGAAAGACAAGGCTGACAAATGAAACTGCCTCTGCAGGGAATGACGGAGGATGGGGTGGCAGCTGGGGGAGGTGGGGGAGGACAGAGCCAGGCAGTTTCGGGGGGGTGGAGGAGCCCTGGCATTGAGTCAGACTGGCTGGGTTCCAATGTGGGCCCCTCTGCCCCGCTGGCTGCGCTCAGCAAGGCGTTCATTCCTCCAAGCCTCCAGCAGGAGGTGATTCACGGAAGGGGCGGACGCCTGGCTCACAGGCGCCTCGCCACGCTCATCCCTGCTGTGGCCACCGATGCCCGTCCGTCCCCTCCATATTAGCTGAGCATGGCCTCAGGAAGCTCCCAATGACCAGCAAGAGGCCATCTGTGGCTCTTGGGATTCCCAGAGGTGGCACACAACATTCAGAACAGGCCCAGGATGGGCAAAGACAAGCCCGTGTGAGCAGGTTGCCGAGAGGAAAGCCTGTGGGTTGCTGAGGCCGGGGGCAGAGCGTGGGTGCCCTCCTGGTTCCGAGTGACTTCGGGCAGAGCAAACATAGTAGACCAGGGAAGGGCAGAGGCAGGGCGTGTCTCTGGGCCCCTGAGCTGCTGCCTGGGCGGGCATGGGAGTGGGCATGGTCCCCCTTGGCCTGGACGCCCAAGTGTCATGCCTCTGGGCTAGGAGAGCGAGGCCCACAGGCTCCTGAACTTTCAGCTGGGTGATGGTGGGCGGCTGGGCCAACTTGGAGGGGTCTGCCAGTCTCCCACCCGGCTAGCCTGGGGCTGGGCAAGAAAGATGCTTGAAGAAGGAGCGATGAAAACAGATCTTGAGGATTAGGGGGCAGGAGTGGCGTTGGGCGTAGCTCACCCTCTGGGTGAGGCAGAGGGTCCTTGAAGAGGGGCTGATAATGAAGGGGGGATTGGGCTGGCATTTATGGAGCCCTCACCACGGGTCAGGGGCCTCGTATTCATTATTCCACTTAATCATCTCAACAGGATCTTGAGATCTGTTCTATTCTCCTCATTTTACAGAGGAAGAGACCAAGGGTCAGAGAGGATCCCCTAGTAAGGAAGAACAGAGCTGGACTGGAACCCAGACCTCCCTAGGCCCATTGTCTTTGTTCCACAATAGTAGGCTGGGCCCTGGTAGGAGGCTTTGGCAATCTGGCCTTTCTGGGGTTGTCAGGAGGGACTAGGGACCTGCCAAATGGGCTGGTATCCTAGGGAGAGAAGGGAGGCCCAGCACAACCTGCCCCGTCTGTTGAATGAATAAAGAAGCTGGACCTTACAAGTGCAGCTCGACCCGGGGTCCAAGCAGCCAGGGAGAGCATTTAGGGGGTGGGGTGGCAGCAGCCAGGGCATCCTAGAGCCCAGCTACCCCTACCTTTCCTGGTAGCCCGAGAATAGAACAGACAAGCTGACCAACCTGGCCTGACCCTTCTGAGCCACCCCAGGCTGGCCAACGACCGCCAGTTCTGGCAGGAAGCCCCTGGAGCAGGTCCAGCTGCAGAGCAGTGACCCAGCGAGCGCTGCCCCTTGCCTGACCTTGGCCATCAGAACATGGGCTGAGGAGGGGAGGGCTGAGGCTCAACGAGGTGTGGGGGCTTGGGCCACCATGGGGGTGTGCAGGGGGCAAGGGGCATGCCAAAAGCAGCCCCAGATGGTGCCAGAGTAGCAGAAGAGGGAGCGGTGGGGCTGGACCAGAAGCCTGTGTGCTCTGGTCTGGTCCCCAGGGTCGCCCCGGGTCCCCAGCAGGCCACTCTGGAAGGTCCTGGGATGAGAGCACCAGGTCCCACTGCCTGCTGTCTGTACCCAAGTTCTTCCACCCGCTAGCAACATGCAGGCTTTTGCCTAGCCCTGCTGGGTGTGCTCCGGGGCTCCACCCTGGGCGCGCCCATCCCTCCCCGCAGGCCTGGCCTGGAGCCTACACTCACCATGCGCCCGTTGGGGACGCCCAGGTGCTTGGGCTTCCCTGGCATGCCTCCGCTGTTCACCGGTCCCCGGCACAGGGGGCGCCCACCATGGGGACCGTGGGCAGCACGCCGAGGCCAGAGCTTGCCGGGCGGCAGGCAGGCGCGGATAGAGCCCAGCTCTGCTCCCGTGGGCCCTCACATCCTGAAACACCAGCTCACTACCTCTTTTCTCTGCCACAGGAAGTGTCTCTATAGAAACGGAACCACAGAAAAAAGCAAGGCCTGAGAGAGTGAACGCCTCTTCCTACACACACATTCACATACACACGCCGCCAACACAACCTTGCAGCACCCCACGCAGACACCAACACGTGGCAGAGGCCTCCGTGTGTCCAGAAAGGAGCCCAGCCCGGTCTGGCCCAGCCCCAGGAGCTCCAAGGTCATGTCTGGGCACCGAGAAGGGCACTCGCACACACCTAGGCAACTTTGGACAACCTAGCAAGGGCTCCGCGGACACGTGTGTACGTACGAGAAGTGCACCAAGCGGCCACACATGGACTTTCCTCAGCACGCACTTATCTCACACCTGCTGCGTGCTGGGCACGTACATACTCAGCACCCCTCCGCCAGGCAGCTGTGCCAGTACAGTTACTACCTCTGTCCCTAGACTCTTCCCAGGCATGTGTCCCGGTGTGCAGACAGATGGACACCTTACATGCATGGTCATGCGCACACAGACCATTCAGGTGCGCATGTCATAAACACACAGGCTCCCCTTCATAAGGAGTACCCGGTGTTCAGTCGTCTGCACTCACAGTCCTGTGGACGGGCACGTGGACAGTCACGCCTGCGCACAGCGCATGTGCATGCCCACGCCTGCCCACATGGGCAGGGGCATGGAGCAGCGGCTTCTGTGCCCAAAGACGCATGTGCATTCACCCTCCCCTTGCTCACATACGAATCCCAGCTCGGCAGAGCCCTGTCAACTGAGGGGTGGCACCCTGCCCTCTCGGCCTGGCCCCGTCCCAGGTGAACTTGGGCCCTTTAGCCAGAATCCTCAGTTCACCTCTTTCTTATACACGCATGTTCCCACTACTTTATGCACGGACTTAGAGCCTTCAAGTGACCCACCACTCCAGTTTGGGCCCCTCTCTCTTCAGGGAAAAGGTGACACCCCCCTTCCATATTCTACCCTCTATACCCCACCCCCTTCTAAGGCTATGATCTGAAGACCTTGGTGACAGAGACTTGTTATTCACCACAAATTCATGTTCTTTTCTTCCTGGGCACATGGCTGCGGTTTAATCCCCCAGGCTCCCTTCAGTCATGTGTGGCCATGTGACTAGCTCCCCGCAACTGAGTGTGAGTGGAAGGGTGTGTGCTGTTTCTGGACCAGCGCTTTGAAGTAGTACGTGCTCGCCACACTCTCTGGTCCCTTCAGCTGGCTGCACGCAGAAGGTGATGAGGCTGCAGGGGATTGTGGAGCCACGACAAGGAAGAAGCCTGGGTCCCTGCGTTAGTGCTCGAAGGCAAGCCACCCATGAACCAGAAACAGCAGCCTTGGACTGTTACAGGAGCAAGAAATAAACTTCAAGCCATTACACACATTCGGGTTTATTTGTCATAGCAGCTAGCATTGCCCCAGTTAAATCACCTCTTCATCCAGCCCTGATCCGCCTCCTTCCAGACACCTTGCTCCAGGCCACCCAGACAGAGGGAGTCATTCAGACTTGGTGTGTGTATGAGGGGTTGCTTTTGGGTCTGGAACACTGCCCATGGTGGTTTTAGCAAGGTACGTGACAGTGTGCATGTGCCTGCGAGGGAGCCGCCGAGTGTGTGCCGTAAGTGGAGCCTGCCTGCCTGCGTGCGGTGCCGTGGCTCTGAGCCTGCGCTTCAGAGGGGGCTTCACAATTTACAGAGTTTTCTCTGGAACTGACCTCATTTGATCCTCACAACCTCTTTGTGATTAGTTCTCATTATTCCCATTTTACAGATCAGGAAACTGAAACTCAGAGAGATGTGAGTTGCCCAAGGTTACACATCAAGTTGGAGATGGGCTAAGCTGTGAACACGTGTGCTTGCGGTGCCAGGAGTCGGGCCTGGACCACCACCAGCCCAGGTGCCAACAGTGCCCCTTCCTCCCCGAAGAGGCCCAACCGCGAGCTCTGCCTGGGACCCCCCAAGGTCGTCCTCCCTGGCTACTGAGAGATGCCTCTCCCTACCTCTCCGCCATGGATGCCAGTTTCACTTCTGACCACATCTTCACCCCAGGGGCCCCAGAAAACCTGGGACTTCCCACCTCTTAGTCCTCCTCTACTTTTCTTCACTCCACAGGTGTGGCGCGGTACCTCCACTCCACAGAACACTGTTCTCAACTGCTCTGTCCCTGCCTTTCCACAGGGAATCACTTACTGATGTCTAGTCTTCCTGTGGGATTTCTGACCCCGTTGCCTGTGGAGACCGTCCTGGCTCAGGCCTTGCCCTCTCTCATCTCATCCTAATGACCTCCTGCTCAGTCGCCCTACCTGTTACCTGGCGCCAGTTCTTCTCACCATAGCGAGAGAAATCCACATCGGCCACTCCCATGCTTAAAACCATCCCATTGCCTTCTGGGAAAAAAGTCATGTTCCTTAGCTGGGAGCTGAAGACCCTTTGAGGCCTGGCCTCAGCTGAACTCTTGCCCACCACTGTGCAGCCGTATCAGGCTGCTTGTACTCCTCATACTTTCAGGCATGACTCCCTGCCTTAGCATTTTCTGTTCCTCTTTCTGGGAGACCACTCATCCTTCTTGACCTGATTCCAGGTTCTAGAACAAATGTGCATTCTTTCACCAATTACCTATTAATCACCTCTTGTGTGCCAAGTACTGTGGTAGATGTTTGGGATTCAGGAGTGACCATAGCTGACAAAAATTCCAGCCCTCATGGAGGTCTAGTAGAATACACATGTCCTTGGTTGTATGGGCATAAATAAAAAAGCTCATTAAAAAATATGACTCAGAAGAGATGTCTTGCCATTTAATCCTGAGTAAGTTGATTCATTCAAAAGGAAAGCTTCTTAAAATTAATGAAGGAGCAACCGATCAAGATTCCACCCTGTGATCTGTAACAGGGGTCATTAACTGAAATGTCTAGAGGGGCCAGACAGGAGGGGTAAATTAGTGGTCAGCAGAGGAAGGCATTTGTAGAGTGGCAGCCCATGGGCTTAGCTTGGTTGGATCTTCCCATTTTCCCTGAGAAACTGGAAATTTTGTTTCTAATGTGGTTTTAAGAGTCCTGATTTAATATCATTTATTAAAATAGCATTTGCAGGTAAAAACAGAGCTCTATTTGGCTGTGGGCCACTAGTTTCCCACCTTTGGTTCCCGGCCAGCTTTCCTGCACCTTTAATAGACACTTCTTGCTGCATCAGGCAGACACTTCAACCATTTGGATCTGGATGCATTCCAAACGTCACTGGGGACCCAGGGCAGGATTCAGGTCCGCTGTCCTGCTTAATCCCGACTGGGCCTGAGGAGCTGGGAGTAGTGGACGCCCTACAATCCCTGGGAATTCTAAGTCTTCGAAGGCGTGAAGCTGCAGGGGGTTAAGCCAGAGTCAGCTAAGGCACACCGGAGGTCACCCAGGGAGTCCGAGGCAGCGCGGGAGTTGGAATTTAGGCCTCCCCCTTCAAATTAGAGATCCTTTACCCTCGGACCGGGAACGGTTACTCCAAGGAAGTGGCCAGAGGCCAAGGGCATTGTAATCTTCGTGTGTCCGGCCCGCGCGAGCAGCCCCCCAAAACTACAAGTTCCGGCACGCCGCGCTTAGCGGGCTACGCTCGTTCAACCTCCGACTCAAACCATCCCCCTGCTCCCCATTGGCTCACAGTCCTAACGTGCTGTTCCATGATTGGTTGTGGCTCGTAAGAACCCGTTGCTGAGGCTGGCCGACAGGTGCTTAGGGGAAGCCCAGAAAGTGGAACTGCACTCGATCAGAATGGGGGCCGCTCTGCGAATAAAGCCGCCGTCCCCTCTGCTGTGAGGCTGTGCTTTTAGCTCCTGGTGACACTAGATTTGGAGGGTTTCCGCCCGGAGGCCACTACTTGGGACATCCGGAAGGCGGAAGTCCACGGCCGGAAGTGGCGGAGAGGAAAGGAGAATGGCGGCGAAAGGACGGATTTGGCGCTGGGGCTGGGGCCGGCGGTGCCCGGGGAGGCCTGGGCTTCCCGGCCCCGGCCCTGGCCCCACGATATCTCTACTTCTTATCCTGTTGCTGGGGCCTGTGACTGCAGATATAACTGACGGCAACAGTGAACACCTCAAGCGGGAGCATTCGCTTATCAAGCCCTACCAAGGTGAGCCCTGGGGCGGGAATGAGTGTAGGGTGAAGGCGAGCCTGCACAGGGTTGGAAAGGAAGTGCCCTTTCTCCCTAGCAGGCCAGCTCTGTGGGTTTCCTGCCTCTGGCAAGGCCAGTCCTGGCATGGCCTTTTACGCACCTGCCCGTGCCCATCACTCTGCCCACAGGGGTCGGTTCCAGCTCCATGCCCCTCTGGGACTTCCAAGGCAGCACTATACTCACGAGCCAGTACGTGCGTCTGACCCCTGATGAGCGGAGCAAAGAGGGCTCTATCTGGAATCACCAGGTGAGTGGTTCCCCAGAGGCCAGACATACCCTAAAAGAAAGGCACTGCTCCCTGCCTCCGCTGCAGCCGGAAGTTTGGTTTGACCGCTCGCCCATCCGTCTCCGGCCCCTTTCCCGTATTGGTCACATTCACCAGCAATAACAGGGGATGGCTATTGAAGTTATTTTGTGTCAGGAGCTGTGCTTGACACTAGACACCCTTCTCACTTAATCCTTTCAAAACCTATGTGAACTAAGGGATGTTATTTCCATTTTACCAAGAAGTTAAGGCCCAGAGTAAAGTGGAGCTGTCAGGCTGCCTGAATTGAACCCTCTCGAATAGTGGGATAAATGGAAATAACAGGATCTTTATTGGGCATTTTGCTGTGTGTTGCTCTGACTTAAAATGCCTTATTGTATTTAATTCTCAAACAGGCTGTTTGAAATATGTGGCCATTGTGACCTTGTTCAGAGCTAACACAAACCATGAATAATTCAGCATGAGCAGAATTTAAACTCTGACCTGTCTGATCTCCAAGCCCAGAAATTCACTCCCTGCACTTGACCTCTTCCCCCTGGGCCGTGAAGGAGCCGCTTAGAAGTATTTGCAGACTCAGCCCCCTTCCCCAGTGCTTACCTGAGAGTCTCGTCGTTAGTGGTGTGGCGGAGCTGGACTTGTGGGCAAATTTTGTTTCTGCGACCTTTGCTCCAGAGGTCAGGGGGCCTCAGGTGTCACTGGCATGTCATACATAAGCAGTGGCCAAGATCGGTTGCTACAGACTCCACACTGAGGAAACCTAGCTCAGGAAAAGGTGTAAGAGGGATAATTTGGGGCTGGGTCACAGCTTTGGGTGGCACCCACTCCTGCCTCATGCTGCCTGACCCCAGCTTTTCCTGTGCTTAAGGCATTGGTCGTTGTCCTAATTTTTTCCGCCACCCTCCTCTTGGTTCCTTCTGGTCGACATCCTCATTTACTTCTGGGAGCCCACACCGTCTTCATTTGCCCTGTCTGCTTGTCCCCTCAGCTTCTCTTCTCCTTCCTACTGGGGGCCTCTGGGGTACCTTGCTCAGCTTTCACTCTGCAGGGGGTTAGGCTAGGGGGTTAATGACCGCCTGTACAGTCGCCCTACCTGTTACCTGGCTCCAGTCCCTTCTTGAAAATAGCAAGAGAAATCCACATCGGCCACGCCCATTGCTTTCTGGAAAAAAGTCATGTTCCTAAGTTGGGAGTTGAAGGTCCCTTGGAGCCTGGGTCTCCTGCGAAGGGATAGACATACAGCATGTGTACACATTCTGGCCCCTGGTGCCTGGGACTGCCAGCCATCTGCCCTGCTAACTTTGTTCCAGCCGCTCGGGCTGCCTTCTTGCCTCAGGATCTTTGCCCTTGCGGTCCCCTCTCAGGGACACTGCCTCCGGGCTCTTCCTGCCTGCTTGGTTCCTTCTCTCTCGCCTGCTAAGTCTCAGCTGAGTGCCCCCCGACTCAGGGCACTTCAGTAGAATAACACCCCTGAGCCACAGTCCGTCACATTATTCTGTCTCAAGACTTTCAGATAATTTTTAAAAATGAGGCCTGACTGGTGTGGCTCAGTTGGTTGGGCGTCGTTCTGCAAAGCAAAATGTTGCCAGTTCGATTCCCTGTCAGGGCACATGACTGGGTTGTGGGTTCGGTCCCCAGTTGGGGCATGTTTGAGAGGCAACTGATTGATGTCTCTCCCTCACGTCGATATTTCTCTCTCTTCCCCTCTAAAAATAAAATCTTTTTTTTAAAAAAAAGACTTTTTGGGAGAGGGGAAGAGGGAGAGAAACCTCAATGCATGGCTGCCTCTCACATGCCCCCCACCGGGGACCTGGCCTGCAACCCAGGCATGTGCCCCAACCGGGAATTGAACCAGCGACCCTTCAGTTCTCAAGCTGGCACTCAGGCCACCGAGCCACACAAGCCAGGGCTAAAATCTTTTTTAAAAAATGATAGTGTAGCCTTATATTTTCTATGGAAATAAGTTCAGTATATCATTAAGATTTTTTTTTTTTAAAGTAAGGTACAGATAGTGTTGGCACTGTTGGAAATTGGGTTCAGTCACAAGAAATTGATTATGGGTGTAGGTAGGCGGTGGTTGGCATTGTCAGCGGTGTGGCATTGTCCCAGGGCTGAGAGGGTTCTGCCCTTGACTTCATTGAATTGCCTTCTCCCGCCTTCCCATTCAGCTTCAGGGACCTTTGCTGTTTGGCCCTACAGATGTTCCCAGAGGGTTGAGATGCTTCCTATAGTTCCTGAAAGGAATTGCTTAGAACTCTTCGAATCTTCTGCCCAGTGTTTCCCAAGAGCCAGCTCCTCCTTTACTGGGCCGGAGAGATGCTTTCTGGACTTTTCTCTTTTTTGTCCCTGCTACTCAATCCATCTGGGAGAGGCGGAAAATGAGCAAACACTACCGAGTACCTGCCGTCTTCAGAGCAGACATAAGACACAGTGCCCGCTGCGTGCGGGGGCGACGGTCCCGATGAAGGACCAGAACTCCGCGTGCCCGTGGCCGGGGCACCGACCCAGGGGAGCCCACGGGGCTGCTGTGGTGGCTGCAGCCGGGTCTTTTTTAAGCTGCCTGTGCTGATGTCCTGTCTGAAAGTAGGTACCCGCTTCACTTTGTAAAAAGTTGACCTAAGTTTAAATATTTGTGAAGTAGCTAGTTTCCAGCATTTTAAACATTGCCGTTTTAAAATAAAACTTAAAGTGTATTCAGTGGAATCTAAATATTGCAATTTGATGTCCACTCTCTTTTAAACATTATGAATAAGCCCAAATTGTATGTCAGTTCTTTATTGAACTTGTGTCTTCCTTTCATTTCCCAGCACAGAATGTTACCCTTATGCAATGAATTCAGTGCTTGAAAACCTCTACCCCTCTGTGGCTGACAGAAGTCTATAATTTAAACGTTTCAACCTTGTTGGGGTTTTTTTTTTATTATTATCGGTACATAATAGGTCAAAATAAATACATTACACATTGCATAATTTTCAAGTAATTACTATAGAAAAGTGAATTTATTGAAATGCCTTTCAGTGAGCGGCTGCCCCGACCCTGTCTGGACGGATGTTATTGTCAGAATAGGACCATCCTCAGCCCCTCTTCTGCTCTTTTGTTTTCCCAGATATCAGTGCTGAGACCTAGGGAGTTGTATTGTCGCTGGGACACTCAGTGCTTTGACCTTTTGGTTTACAAACCCAAAATCTTGTGGTGACCTTTCATCAAAAGCATTAATGATAGCAGCTGACTGTTGGTTAGCCCTTCTGTCCGCTTGTCACAAGGAAGGAATGGAAACCACCCGAGTGTTGGACGCCCTGTGACCGCCGGGTGAGGGTTCGGTGCTCCCCAGCGGCCGGGCTCTGCGGCCAGGTGGAGACCCACGGCTCTGCCGTGCTCTGCCCCCGGAAGCAGCTTCTGAGTCGGTTCCAGCCCAGTCTTCAGCTGCCTGAAGCCCTCCAGCGGCTCTGTGTTGTCGGCAGCGCAGTGTTCCTGCTTGCTGCCCTGTAACCCTCGGTCTGGGTGTGTGGAGACTTTCCAGGGCTGGTTAGTCTGGAAGAATCAGTTTTCAGGTCCTCGGCCTCGGCGTGTGCTCTTTGCTGACGCTGCTGTCCCTGCAGACGTGCCTGGGACAGGGGGGTGGATTTTCTTTTCCTGCTTCCCGGTTCGCAGGGCCTTTCCGCTCAGAGGCAAGGGGCATGCCTTGCCCCAGCTTGGGCCTCCCTCTGGGTGCTGCTCCGGGTGCAGAGAACCCAGAGTGCTGAGGGGGCCATGCGATATCTGGCTTCTGGGTTGGTGCGCGCGCGCGCGTGTGTGTGTGTGTGTGTGTGTGTGAGAGAGAGAGAGAGAGAGAGAGAGAGAGAGAGAGAGAGAGAGAGAGAAATGTTTTAAATTTTTTTCAAATATATGAAAGTCTTTCTAGTTATCTTTTTAAAAGTTACTGTTATTGGTATCTAGTTTAATTCCATCATGATCAAGCAATGTACTTCATGATTTCAGTCTTTGGAGGCCTGTTGAGCCTTGCAGGTGGCCCTTCCAGTGATCAGGTTTGGGGCAGGTGTCCCGGCCGCCTGAGCCAGCGGCGGTGCTGCCCCCGCCCCTCAGTCAGGTTTGCCGATGGGGTTCAGTGCTCTGTGTCCGTCCTGACAATTCTGCTTGTTTTCATCAGGTTCTGAGAGGGGTGTGTTAACATTACTCTGTGGATTTGTCTTTACCTGTTGGCATTCTGGTAGTTTCTGCTTTCTATATTTTAAGGCCAAAATTTTCTTGGTAAAGGATCTTTAAGAAGAGTCCCCTTTTAAACTTTGTTATGGGGATGGCTGTACAGCCTGGTTTCGTTTAGCATTTGCATGCTGTGTCTTTTCCTGTCCTTTCTTTTTTCATATCTTTATATTTTAGAGTTGTTTCTTGTAAACGGCATATACTTAGGCTTTTCTAGGGGGGGTTTATTGTGGTAAAATACATAAAACAAAATTTACCATTTCAACCTTTAATTTTATTTATTTTTTTACTTTTTAAATCATTCAGTTTATGAACCCATTCTCTTTAGTATTGGCATTGAAACACATTTGCATTGAAATGGTTTTTTAAAAATGTAAGTGGCCATCAACAAAAAATTAGTTTTGATTATTGTATTTATGTATCTGCACATATTAAAAAATCATCAAAGCTTTTTTATTGTGGTAAAATATGCATAACATAAAATCATCTTAAACATTTTTTAAAAATGTATTTAGATTTTATTTATTTTTAGAGGAGAAGGAGAAGGAGTAGAGAAACATCAATGTGTGGTTGCCTCTCGCACGCCCCCTACCTCGCACGCAACACAAAATCTGGGGACCTGGCCTGCAACCCAGGCATGTGCCCTGTCTGGAAATCGAACCTTGGTTCTCAGGCTGGCACTCAGTCCACTGAGCCACACCAGCCAGGGCCCATCTTAACCATTGTTAACTGGACAGTTCAGTGGCATGTAGTACATTCACGTTGTTGTGCAACCATCGCCACCGGCCATCTGCAGAACTTCTCATCTTCCCAAGCTGAGACTCTGTCCCCATGAAACACTTAACTACCCCATCCACACAGCCCCGGGCAACTAGTGTTCTACTTTTTATCTCTGAATTTGACTCTCCTAGGTACTTCATATAAATGGAATCATAACCATCACTGTCTGTGGCTGGTTTAGTTCCCTGAGCATAATGTCTTCAGGGTTCCTCTGCGTCGCAGCGTGCGTCAGCAGTTCATTACTTTTTGTGACTGAAGGATACTCGTGTGTGCACCGCATTTTGTTCATCCCTTCGTCTGTGGATGGAGGCTGGGGCTGTTTCCACCTTTTGGCTATTCCGCATAGTGCCGCTGTGGACATGGGTGGATGGGTGTCTGAGCGCCTGTCTTCCTTTCTTTTGGGTTACGTACCTAGGAAGCAGAATTGCTGGGTCCCAGGTCCCTCTGTGTTTAACTTTGAGGACCACAGAACTGTGTCCCACAGTGGCCGCGCCATTTCACACTCCTGCCAGCGGTGTGTGAGGGTCCCCATTGCTCCAGTGCTTGCTGGTGTCCTGTTTTTTGATAGCAGCCCTTCCAATGGGAGCGGTGTCTGTGGTTTCGGATTACACTTCTCCAGGGACTGCTGGTGCGGAGCACCTTTCCACGTGCTCTTTAGCCATTTGTGTGTCTTCTTTGGGGAGATGTCTGTAATGTCTGTTCAGGCCCTTTGCTCATTTTAAATTGTGGTTGAATTGTAAGTGTTCGCTGTGTATTCTGCATATTAATTTCTTATCAGATGTATGATTTGGAGATATTTCCTCCCATTCCGTGGGAAATCTTTTCATGTTACTATTTTCAGATTGGATGCAGCGTGATTTACCTGCGGGGCGCGCGTGTGCAGTGGTGTCCTCCCAGGAGTCACTGCCAACCCCTGTGTCCTCACGGTTTTCTCCATGTTTTTTCCTACTAAGAGTTTTATAGTTTTAGCCTCCAGTTTAAGTCTTTTTGACCCTTTATTTACTTTTTAAATTAGACTTTTTATTTGGAGAGAATTACAGATTTACATGCATTTGCAAGAAAAGATGCAGAGAGATTCTATATACTTTTAACAACCATGTAGTTCTTCCACACTTAGTAAAATTACTAATGCGTTTGGGTTTAATCTACTGTCTTACCATATACTTTGTATGTGTACTGCCTGTTCTTTGTCATTTTTCCCTTTTGAATTGGTTGGGTCTTGTTCCGTTTTCACTCCCCTGTCAGCTTGAAGGCTCTGTGCTTGTTCCCAGTTCGTGGTGGCTTCTCTGGGGTTTAAATCACATGCCCGTGTTTCACAAAGGCAGCAGCAGTGTGCTTTTGCCTCCTGCATGGGCAGTGCAGAGACCTTAGAACTTTAACTCCATTTAGCCCATTGTTACTATTTATTTTAATCCTTTGCCTTTTAAATCACGAAATGTTGTTTTAACCAGTCAAATAGTTTTTGCACTTTTACCCTCAGATTTATTGTGTTCATTGTTCTTTCTTCCTTCCAGAATCTCTGACTTTATAACTGGATCATTTTCTCTCTCCCCAAAGAATCAAAGACAGTTTTAATATTTTTCTTTATCTGAAAATGTCTTAATTTTGCATTCTTTCATGAGGGACACATTTGCTAAGTATAGACTCCTATGTTGATTACTGTTATTATTTTTTAAAGATTTTATTTATGTTTGAAGGGAAGGGGAAAGAGAGGGAGAGAAACATCAATGGGCAAGAGAAACATCGGTCAGTCGGCCTCTCATACACTCCCTGGCTGGGGACCAAGCTCGCAGCCCAGGCACGGCCCTACAGGAATCAGCCTTTCGGTTTGCCGTGGCCGGGGCGGGGCCATCAATCTATTGTCCTCTTGTTCTTACTGTTTCTGTTGAGAAGTCCAGTATCAGGCTAATTATAGCTCCTCTAAAGGTGATCTGTGTTTTTTCTTCCTTCTGGTTGCTTTCTTTGTTTTCTCCCTCCTTCTTTTCTTTCGTTCCTAAGTATAGTGTATTTGGTTTTGTTTTGTTTTGTTTTGTTTTTCTCGTCTCTTTTGGTTTTGTAAGACCTAAGGTGTGGCATAATGTCTTTGAATCAGCGTTAATAGGTGCTTAAACATCTCTAAGTTTTTCTTTGCCCTGTTGTGCTGTTCATTCTGAAACTCCAATTATCCATGTCTTCCAGGGGTGTGCGGCCCAGGATGGTTGTGAATGCAGCCCAACACAAAATCGTAAATTTACTTAAAACATTGTTTTTTACTTATCAGTTTTCATTGGTGTTTGTGTATTTAATGTGTGACCCAAGGCAACTCTTATTCCAGGGTGGCCCAGAGACGCCAAAAGTTTGGACGCCCCTGTTTGGACTTTCTCGCTCTTCCCTCTGCCTCTTACCCACTGTTTGGTATCAGTCATGCTTTTGTTTCTCTGTCTTATTCTGGATATTTTTATCTGACTGGACCGGAGTTTACAAATTCTTTCTTCATCTGTTTTAAGTCTATTGTAAAATCTAACCATTATATTGTTAGGTTTAGTTACTGTATTTTTTTGTTCTGGAATTTTTATCGTGTGATTTTTAAAAACTTTAGTTATCTACCAAAATTCTCAATCTTGTCTTTTTCCTCCTTGAGCACAGTGAACTAGTGGTTTGGAAGGCCAGTATCCGGAGTCCCTGTTAGCCACCCTCCTTCCTCCCTCTGGTGTTTGTTCACATCTTGTCTTTCCATGTGCCTGGTAGTTTTCATTGTGTACTAGACACTGATATTTGTAATAGGAGGCCTAGAGGAGTCGCTATCAGGGATTGAGAGGACTCAGCTGGGCTACAGGCCATGGGAGGGTCCTTCTCGTTCATTCGTATTCTTGGCTTCCTGCCTCGTTGGTCCCAACCCAAAGCAGGGTCGGTGCAGGAGAAGGTCTACCCCCTCAGCAGGCCGTGAACTTGGATGTCTTGTTCCACTCTCCTTGAGAGCCGGCTCTCCTCAACCCTCACTTGCCCCTCTGGAATCTGCGCATTTTGCAGAGCCAGTGACCCGTCCAGAACCGAGAAGGCTGTTTGGCAGGACTGGCAGGCTGCCTTGCAGCGGCTTCTGCGCCGGGCTGGCCCCGTCGTTGAGGGCCGGGTGCGCAGAGCTGAAACACCAAGCCTGGTGAGTTCATGATTGCTCGGGGCAGCTTGCCCTCGATGGGACAGCAAGGTCTTTGTTTTTGAGTATTTTTTCTGATTATAGAGGTAGCACAAAGTTCAGTCGCAGAAAGTAAACCCTCCCTGTAGTTCTCCCAGAGTCACCGATCGCCGACGTTGGGTCCTCATAGTCCTCTCATTTTTTCTTCCTCTACACAGAGGTTAATCCCTTTCTTTTCCAAATGAGAACCTAGTGCTGATACTGTTTGCAGTAGTGTCTTTGCTATCTTTAAATGTAAGTGCTTAAGGCTCTGCCTGTCCTAATAAAAGGCTGCAACAGCCAAATTGTGCCCAAGAAGACGGGAAGGAGAGTTCACAGTCCCGCTGGTTGAGCACGCTTCTTTGATCCGCATCCACAGGGGTGTTAGTGATCTCTTCAGTAGCTGCCAATCTGATAGGTCAGCAGTATCTTGTTTTCACTTGCATGTCTGATGGGCCGTTTGTTTAATCACCTGCTCACACGCCCATCTGCAGACTTCCCCTCAGCGGATTCTGTTCCAAGTATGTGTCACGCTGGAGTTTTCATGAGCAGCTTCCTGGTGGGCGAGGCCGGGCTGCTCCCCTCGCTGCAGTGCCAGCCCTGCACCTGGTGTCCCTGATGCCAGGGGGCACCAGCCTTCCCTCAGGTCACGGCCCTGCTGCCGCCGCCACCGCGCCGGGGCTGGGTTGGGGCTGGGCTGGGCTGGGGCTGCAGGAGTCAGGAGTGTGCCGGCCAGAGCTTGGGGCCTGGAGTCGGGGGGCTCCGGCTCGAGTCCCGCAGTGGGGAGGGTCGGTCAGAAGGGAAGGCCGTGGGGGTGGGAGCCTGGAAAGCGGTGGGCGCGCTCCGTGTTCAGGACCGGGGGGCCCTGGCAGGCGGGGCAGGCGGAGCACCGGCTCCGTGTCTGGCAGGCCGGGTGTGACGCAGGACCCGCCGCATACCTGCTGTGGACTGCTACTTTGTCCCTGAGTGTGTTTTCTGTTTTGTAAAATGGGTGGCTCCAGTAGGGATAGCAACCTTTCCACAAGATCCCATGGCAGGAGCCTTGTGGGTGGATGGAAAACAAGGCTGGTGGGTTTGGCTGGTTTTGAGGAAAATGAATCAAAGTAGAGAAGACTGGCACGGGGCCAGGGGCCTGGGCCTCAGGCAGCGTTGGGACACTGTGCAGCTTCCCTGTCCTTACCTGGGAGGCCCAGCGGCCTGTTCCTTCCTCCTGAGAAAGCTGGAGAGTCTGTTGGCCCCCTTCCAGGGAGGGCCTAGTCTCAGAGGGGGCAGGGTCTGTGCCGGTCCCCTCCAGCCGTCAGGAAAGCCCCAAGAGCTCAGAGCGGCCTCTGCTCTCCCTGCAGCCTTGCTTCCTCAAGGACTGGGAGATGCACGTCCACTTCAAAGTGCACGGCACCGGGAAGAAGAACCTCCACGGAGACGGCATTGCCTTGTGGTATACCCGGGACCGCCTCGTGCACGGTAGGCTGCGCTCCGTGTGGGCCTCGCGGCCCAGGGCCTCCACCCCACACTCTCCTGTTAGGTTCTGCCGCTCTTCCCTGGGAACCCAGGACCTTGGGTTGGCCGTGGGTTGTCCTCTGGGGAAGAGGGGGCGGGACCCTGTAGCCTCACTCTGCTCCCTGTGGTGGCCTGGCATTGTACACCAGCTGGGAACGGTTTTTCCCATTTTAAAGTGCAATTTTTTAAAAAGCAAAAGTAAGGAAGACTGTATGTGGCCCTTAAAGTTCAGAGTGTTTCCTCTCCAGAGCTTGACAGAAAGCCCCTGAGCCCGGGGTTAGAGGATGAGGCTCCCTGGGTTGTTTCACAGGCTGGGACCCTCGTCACTTGAAACCTCAGAGCACATGCCGGGTACTGTCCCCTGACATTCAGGTTTCAAACTCGAGTCCTCTGTGCCGTACGCCTGAGACCACCTCCAGGTTTTTCTTCTAGAGACGTCTTCTCTTTCCTGGGAGAGCAGCCGGCAGGCGGCCGTCTTGCCCCCGCCCCCCGGCACTGCTTTGTCCTTCGGGTCAGCCTGGGCACACCCCCATTTTCCCCGTGACCGGAGCGGCTCTTTCTCATCCCAGGGCCTGTGTTTGGAAGCAAGGACAACTTCCACGGCTTAGCCATTTTCCTGGACACGTACCCCAACGACGAGACCACTGAGGTAGGCCCCTGCCGCCTCCCGCAGAGCAGGGCAGGAAGGGCTGGGAAGTCGGCTGGGGGCCAGGGCTTCTCCCTGGTCCCAGCACAAGGCGCCTCCAGGGGCTGGGGTGGGGGCCCCGCCACTTGCGCGGGCAGGTCTGGCCATGGAGTAACCGGTGTCTTGGTCTCAGCGCGTGTTCCCGTACATCTCGGTGATGGTGAACAATGGCTCCCTGTCCTACGACCACAGCAAGGACGGCCGCTGGACCGAGCTGGCGGGCTGCACGGCCGACTTCCGCAACCGTGACCATGACACCTTCCTGGCTGTGCGCTACTCCCGGGGCCGTCTGACGGTGAGCCGGCGGCAGCGGGAAGGGAGGGGCGGGGTGCGCCGGCCGCACCAGCTCTGCACGGGCCTGCACGGGAGGGTGGGCAGGCTGCCCCGTGGCGTGCGTCACCTGCTGGCTGGCCGCAGGTGATGACTGACTTGGAGGACAAGAACGAGTGGAAGAACTGCATCGACATCACGGGCGTGCGCCTTCCCACCGGCTACTACTTTGGGGCCTCGGCTGGCACCGGTGACCTGTCTGGTGAGTGGGCAGGGCGTCGAGTCTTAGTTTTGACCTTCCCTGGTCTGCCGGGGCTTGTGACACAGCCGATAGCTTTCCTGGTGAACTTCCTGCATTGGTTCCGCACTCGCCTGGTCCCTTCCTCTTCGTGTTGGCTCCGCTGTGGCATGCCCGGGGCCCCGCCCGTGAGCGGTCCTCGGCCACAGCCCCGCCTTTAGGAGGCTTTGCACTGGACCTGCAGGCAGCCCAGTGTCATCGCCACCCCGCTCAACCTCTCCACTCGGTCGCCCGGAGTGTGTCTCAGCCTTCACGTGCCCACAACTAAAGACCACATCTTGCCACCAAGACATAAATGACACCTCTGTCCTGGGTGCTCAGGCTAAAAACCTTATCCCGCAGACAATCACGATATCATCTCGATGAAGCTGTTCCAGCTGATGGTAGAACACACCCCCGACGAGGAGAACGTCGACTGGACCAAGATCGAGCCCAGCGTCAATGTCCTCAAGTCGCCCAAAGGTACGCGTTTGTGGGCCCCCCCAGTTGGACCTGAGTGGGACTGGGGCTGGGCCATGGCCAGCGTGGTGTGTGCCTGTGGGCCCCCTGCCTTTGGGGGTCTGGCTGTGGTGGTGGCCTGGGCTCTTGGGTCAGCAAGCCGTGCTGAGGAGCAGTGTGGGAGCCCTGGAGTCCGCTTCCTCCCGCAGCCCGGGCTGGGGTAAGAGCGGGGGAGCCACAGGGCCCATCTGGCGTTGTGGGTGTCGTGCAGGGCACTGAGAGTGCACAGGCGTGACCTCTGAGCGCCGGGAAGTGGGTCCTACCGCTGGCCGAGGCAACTGATCCTTCAGTTTTCCTCATCTAGGAGATAAGGGCAGGTTTCGAACTTGAGGTTTTGCAAAACTCCAAAGCCTGGGCTCTTCTCAGGGCACTAAGTAGCCATGGCTTTGTCCTCACAGAATGAGGGTTCTTGCTGGCGCATGAGGCCCGTGTGGAGAAATCCTCTCAGCCCAGCCCATGGTCACCAGGTGTGGTATGAGCTGGGATGGACCCAGCATTTTATGTGACAGCTCACTTTTTTAAGATTCAGGTTACTTTTACATGTTTTGAGAGTCACACAGGCCACTGGCCTGCCACTGCGGGCTGAGGGTTTCTGGCTCCCGAGGGCTCAGGGACCTTGTCTGCTCGACCGACCCAGCAACCCCACATGCTTAGCCAGTCAGGGATCAGCTCGTTTTCAGGCTGATTGGCCCATTTGTTCCTTCAGCAGTGAATTCCAAAGCTTCCGCTCAGTGCCTAGCTGTGTGCTGGGCGCTGCCCCAGGGCTCATTGTGGTGACTGAAGTGGAGGAGGGGACAGGGGGGCCTTGGGAACCCTGGGAGCCCTGAGGCTGAGCCTCTTGCAGGAAGCTCCTCTGCTTGGGAGCCCCTGGTTTAGTCAGCAGCGATTGCTGCCGCTGTGCAGGGGTGGACAGGGGCCGGGACTGGGACAGCAGGCCCCCCAGGTCAGGCCTTTGGAAAGGGAGGGCGTCGGTGGGCTCGTGGCTGGCCTTCCAGGCCTGGCTGGGAGGAGAGCCGAATCCCAAGGCAGCCGGCGTTCCAGGCCTGGGCTCACCAGTTGCTGACAGGGTTGGGGGGCAGCGGAGTGGTGTGGCCAGAGCGGGACAGGGTCGGGGCCTGGGACCCCGTCGAAGCCACCAGAGGCATCCAGGGGTGAGTCAGGGCAGCGTTTGGCCAGGGTTCGGTTTCTGCAGATGGGCCCTCAGACCTCTGCCGGGGGGCACAGGGGGGCCGGGGGGCAGAGACGTGGGAACGCAGCTCCGGGGCCTCCCAGGCAGAGGGGCTCCCGCGGGACCCAGGAGTCCAGTGTCCACCAGCTCCTCACAGCAGAAAGGCACCCGGGCCTCGGTCTCTGGGACCCTCGCGGTTGCCCCCGTCCAGTGTCTGGCCCTCACGCGTGTGGTGCACTCAGCCGAGGGTGGCCTGCGGAGCATGGCCGCCGCCTTGCTCCGTCCTGTTGGGAGCTGCCCGGCCCCTCTGCCACTCCTGCTCCCCCTTTCTTCTCCCTCAGACAACGTGGACGACCCGACGGGGAACTTCCGCAGCGGGCCGCTGACGGGCTGGCGGGTGTTCCTGTTGCTGCTGTGCGCACTCCTGGGCATCATCGTGTGTGCCGTGGTGGGCGCCGTGGTGTTTCAGAAGCGGCAGGAGCGCAACAAGCGTTTCTACTGAGCAGCCGGCACTCGGCTCGGGGAGGCCTGGTCGTGGCCTCCAGTGCTAATGTGAACTTTTTTTTTTTTACTGAGATTGTAAAAGAAAAACAAGATGACCTTATTTCTTAACAATTTCAAAGAAATAATTAAAGTATTTTCGTACCTTTTGCTTCTTGCCCAAGCAGGGACAGGCTGCAGGGGCAGGGAATAGGGTTCGGCGCCCCGCCCCCCGCCGCCCCGGGAGACAGAGGCCCTTGCCCGCGGCCGGCATCTCAGGAGTAGGGGTCTGTTCCTGGAGCTGCGCCAAGGCCCCAGCAGGTGGCTGTTGAACACTGGAGACCCCTTGGTTGCAGGGGTGGGCGCCCGAGGACACGGGCAGTGATTTTGTTCTGTGCCGCACGCGTGGCAGAAGAGGAGGCCGAGCGGGGAACCTAGGCGCACGTTCGCCTCTGAGCTCCCCAAGACAGACTCTTGAATGAGGCTGGGGGAGCAGTGTGTGGGGCCCAGAGTGCGGCTGTTTGCTGAATAAAGTAAAATGACCACCCTCGGCTGTGTGACTGCCCTGCAGCGCGCGTGGCTTTCTTCAGACACCTCCCAGGTAGCCAGGCTTCCCACACGCAGCCTCATGGCCTCGGGCAGGGGTGGTGCTCTCGGTTCCTGGGGGCACACAGCGTGGGGTCATGGGAACAGGTGCCCTGTGTTCCCCTGCCCCTATGTGCTCTGGGCCTCTAGGTGAAAGGGTCTGGTTGGGGGAGGATTTAGGGTACCTTGCAGAGGGTTCCAGGGTGATCTGGAAGGGAGTAGGGGCGGGGGCAGGCTGGGGCAGTAGTATTCCCTTCGGGGTGCCTTGAAGGTCACAGGGTGGGAGAAAGCCAGCAGCTGACAGTAAGTGCTGCCATCTGGCACCTTCCTGGCTCTGCGCCCAGGCCACGGCCTGCTGCCGCCCTCTAGTCCCCCCTCCTTACCTCCAGCCCCACCCTGGAATAGCGTGTCCCCGACTAGTCCAGAGCCACCTTCAGCATCTTTACACTCACAGCTTGAGAACATCTTGAGTTTCCATCTTAAAAGCAAGAGCGACCCTATGTTCCTGTTGTAACCAGGCTTTTTGTAATTAACACTGTCAGGTTCTCATCATAAAAAGTAGGTGAGATAGGAGTAGATGAGAAGGAAGAACTTCCTTTTCTTTGGTCTCAGTCTCATTGGGGAGCTCCCCCCGATGGGCGAGCACCACTGCTTGTCTGTCAACACGTTTCACAGCCCGGGCGCCAGCCAGTCATCCACAGGCTCACGGCGGCCGAGGTCTGACCTGGTCTCTCATGGACCTGGGAGTTTGTCCATGGAGCAGTGAGAGTAAACAGCATCCTCGTTACTGAAATGTTTTTTGAGCCCTTTCCCCAAAACAGTTTCTGGACCTGAAGAGCAGCTGACTTTGAGTGCCTGCAGAGGCTGGCTGTGGCCCTGAGGGGTCAATGTGTGTGAGCCCGGTGGGCGCCGGGAACTCACCAGCTCAGGCGGCCCGCCCCGCGGGGGCGCTGTGTTGGCGCTGACGCTCACGCCGCTCTCCGTGGCTGCGCCGGCCGCGCCAGCAGCCCGCACTCCCCGAGCCTGGCCTTTAATCTCTGGCTCTCACTTGGCCTGCCCCGAGCTCCTGAATTACTAGAGCATTCTGTGTCTTTCCGGCGCGCGCCCCCACTGTGCAGCAGAGTCGTCTGAAGAACAAAGGTGAGCTCGCCTCAGACACCAGCTCCGGTGTAAAGTCGGTGGGACCCGGGCAAGGTGGTTTCAAAAGAGCCACACCTGGGGGTTCCCACCAGTGGACAAGTGTGAGAGCCCACAGCTGTTAGACCAGTGACCAGGCAGAGAGTCGGGTGACCGCGGGCTGTGCTTGGCCGCCAGGGCCCTGTGTGCATCCCTTCTGCAGCCCGTGGCTCGAGGACTGACCTGCGGTCCACCGGCCTTTTCTCACACGTGATCGTGGGTCCATCACCTGTGGTTTTGCCGTGGGTGTTTAAAAGCAATTACTTCCTCCTATGAAAGTGAAATATAAATCTATATTCTAGGATCTTATTCTGAGAAATAAGCACTGACACACTGGCATCCCTTTGCCCCCTGCCCTGAAGGTGTGTCCCGCCCTGCGGAGGTGGTGGCTGCTGGTTCTATTTTTGTTATGTGCTCTTGTTTAAAAAATTGTTCTATGGCAGTTGTCCCAGTTGTCCCCCTTTGCCCTCCTCTGCCCAGCCCACCCCCGGCTCCCAGTCGGTTCCCACTCTGTTGTCCATGCCCATGGGTCACTCGTACATGTTCCTTGTCAAGTCCCTTCCCCTTCTTTCCACCCTTTCCCCCTCCCCCAACTGCTCTGGCTGCTGTCAGTCTGTTCCATGTTTCCGGGTCCTTTGCTCATTAGTTTATTTCGTTCATTAGGTTCCTCTTGTAGGTGAGATCATATGATATTTGTCTTTCACTGACTGGCTTATTTCACTCAGCATAATACTCTCCAGTCCCATCCATGCTGTCACGAAAAGTAGGAGTTCTTTCTGTTGCATTGTGTTCCATTTTGTAAATGTACTGCAGTTTTTTGATTCACTCATTTACTGATGGCGTGTTGTGCATTTCTTAAAAATGTTAGCATAGAGCTGTGTATCTCTCAGTACATGCATTGTTTTGCATCCTAAAAAATTATAACTGGTATGTACACAGAGGATGCCTCAGCTTTTAAGTTGAACGTTGTGAGTCTGCTTACATGCAGCTCAAGCTGCGGCGCGAGTGGGCGCCAGTCTCCCGCTCTGCACGGCTGGCATCTGGATGGTGTCCAGGCTCTGTGCTTAGATCGGTGCTGCTCTGAATGCCGGGGGCTCTCCTCACGCACAGTGTGCAGCTCGTGCACATTCAGTTTTCTTGGCTGTCAGGTTGTTCTCCGAGGTGAGTTCTGTCCAGTCCACTCCACCTCAGCTGCTGAGACGCCCCTCTGCCCACCTCTTAGCACTTGATACTGATGGAGCGCTTAATTTTTTAGTCTGATGGGTGCCAGAGTTTTAATTTGCATTTCTCTACTAGTCAGGCTGGGGACCTGGGCATCCCCAAAGATGCGTTTGTGTTTCCCGTGCGGGGGTGTTGATTGTCCCCTTTTCTTGTGTCAGGTCCTTTGCAGACACCTCCCAGTGCACTTGTCTTTTTGTTTTTCTAATGGTGTGTGATGTGTCTTAATGCCACTTACTAATCTTTTCCAAAGATTTTCCCCAAAAAAGTGTTTAAATTTTGATTTTCAGATTTAGCATTTAACGTATTTGGAGTTTATTTCTGTGTGGGGAGTGATGTCGGGGTCTGGCTGTCCCCTCTGTGCCACATCCAGCTCGTGGCGCCATCAGCACCGTTACCGATGCATTCACTTCTCTGCTGGAGCCCCAGCGCCACCGAGGCAGGGGCTCAGCGGGCAGCGGCCCTGCCTTGATAACCGCTCCCTCACCTTCCTGCTGTCCGCGGCCTTGGCCTCAAGGCTGAAAACACAGCTAAACCTCCCGGCTCCTCCTGGGGCGAGCAGGAGGAGATGCTGAGGCCCTCGGTGGAGGAGGTTCTCAGTAACTGCCTCAGGCAGTGGCGGGTGCGCCGGCCACCATCCCCTCTTCGGTGGGAGCTTGGAGTCTCTGAAGGTGGGGAGGCCTCTATGACCATGGAGGTGGGGGTAGGGGGTACAGGTCCTTATGACACAGCTGAGGAGCGGCTTCAGCCTGGACTGCTGACCACAGGGCTTTTATGTGAAAAAAAAATAAATGCATTTGTTCAAAACTGCTTTGAGTCATGTTTTCTGTTTGTGGCTAAAACCAGCCAGCCCTGTGTCTGTCCCCAGGTTCTCTAATACGCATGTCAGCTCTGGGCTGCAGCTACATTCACACGCCCGCTCTGTTTTGGCCACTAGGGCACCACACAGACCAAAGGGACAGAACACTTTGCCCTCATGGAGCTTACAGTCTAGTGAGGGATCAGGTGAAATGAATAAGTGAAATACATGCTCTGTAGTGCTTGTATGCGTCTTGTAGAGCTGCCATAGCGAAAAACCACAGGCTGGGTGGCTTTAAACAGACTTACTGTCTCCCAGTTCTGAGCAGGGTCTGAATCATGGTGCCGCAGGGCCGCGCTCCCTCTGACGGCTCTGGAGGGAATCCTTCCTTGCCTCTTCCTGAATTCGCGCGATTCCTGGCTTGTAGACACACCACTCCAGTCTCTCGCTCCATCAGCACACAACTGTCTTTACCTCGCCTTCTGTCTCCAGATTTCCCCGTTGTAACACCATCGTATTGGATTAACCACCCCCACGCCTCACCTCATCTGGGTCAGATGTACACGGAGGACGCCACTTCCAAATAGTCCTGTGCTGAGGTGCGGGATTAGGACTTAAACGAAGACTTTTTTGGGGAACGCAGTTCAACTCATGACAGTGGCTAAGGAGACAAAGATTAAGGTTAAAGGGGTAAGTGGGGCAGAGATGGAGGAAGGCCTGTGACTGGCTGAACTAAAGGAAATGGGATGGAAACTCATCAAGCCATTCACCTAAGATTTGTGCATTTTTCCATATATCAGAAAATGTTAATTTTATATGCATTTCAAAAAGGCAACTTTCTTGTAAGGATCTCAGAATCAATAATTGGCATTTCTTGATTTCTGTCAACATTGACAATGCATATGTGCACTGAAATAATCTTTCCTGTGGTTTTACCGTGATTTATTAAATCTTCAATTTAATTTTATCATGGACTTGAGGCTAATTAATTGAGCAAATTTTTAACAATGAACTAATGTGAATTAGGCAGGAGGCAAGGCACATAGAGGGACAACACAGTCCCTGCCTTCGTGGCTCAGAAGGTGGATTGTGTGACGCAGCGTTCAGTCTGGGATCCACATCTGCTAAGTATTTCAAGCAGAGGGGGTTTAACATAGGGTGCTGATTACCATGGGGGGTGGGGGAGTGTAGGAAGGCTGAATGAGCAAAAATGGGCCCTGAGGTATCCCGGAAATTCAGAGGGAGCTGTAGGAAGAGGTTATGTTACCAGAACCCCAGGGCTCTGAGTGCTCTGTGGTGGGTGCTCAGGCTTCTGGGAAGGTAGAACCTGGCGGGAACTGGGACTTCCAAGGGAGGCACAGCCCAGTGGGGAGGGAGCAGGGTATACCGCTGGTGCTTCTGCAGACAGCAGTGCAGGGTCTGTGCCTCAGCCAGTGCTGAAGTGGCTGCAGCCAGCTGGCAGCGGCTGCTGCTGCTGGCCTTGGATTTTTCCCAAGTCAGCCTCTTCTGCCTTCCCCTTCCAATCTCCCCCTAGTACCCTCCAGCGGCAAGACCCAACTGAGGCCGGCTGGCAAAGGAGCCTCGGAAACATCTCTGAGTTTCAGATGTCAGCATGGAAAGGTGGGCTGGCAGCTGACTGGTGGAAAACAGGTGTTTCCCACTGCAGATGAGAGCCTGTAGCCAACATCTTATGTTGACTCCACAGTCCACTTGGGGACATCTGGACTAAGGGCACACACACCCCCCTCTATTAGCTGACCCTTG